TGAAGCTGTGAGTTATTGTGGAATATTAGTTTAAGATGTATTACATCCGTTTATGCTATGGAATATTTGTTTAATGATGCAAAGGTGTGTTACATTTTTTTATGTTGTATTTGTTTAACTCTGTAAAGCTGTGTTACTTTGTCTGCCTGAAACAACTGGATTGGTCTAATAAAGAGCTGAATGGCCAGTAGCAAGGCAGGAGAAAGAAGAGGCAGGGCTAGCATGCAGAGAGAATAAATACAAGGAGAAATCTAGGCTCAGGAGAAAAGAGAGGAGAGAGGAGTGAGAAGAGGAGAGGAGGACACCAGGAGCCAACCACCCAACCACACAACCAGCCACAGAGTAAGAAGGGAAGAAAGATATACAGAATAAAGAAAGATAAAAAGCCTAGAGGCAAAACATAATTAAAGAGAAACTGGATAATTTAAGTTAGAAAAGTTGGCTAGAAACAAACCAAGCTAAGGCCAGGCATTCATAAGTAAGAATAAGTCTCTGTGTATTTATTTGGGAGCTGGGTGGTGCGCCCCCAAAGAGTAAAAGATAGATAGATAGATAGATAGATAGATAGATAGATAGATAGATAGATAGATAGATAGATAGATAAACTACAGTGAGTGGCCTTGTGTAGTCAGAAAGTTTGTCTGGTCCCATCAGGCCCCCAAAGTCCTGTGGCCTGCTTATAAAATAATCACTCAGAGGCTTATATTAATTATAACTGCTCAGCCATTAGCTCAGGCTTATTACTGACTAGCTCTTACACTTAAATTAACCCATAATTCTTATTCATGTTTAGCCACGTGGCTTGGTGCTTTTCTCAGTTCTGCCTTGTCATCTTGCTTCCTCTGTGTCTGGCTGATGACTCCTGACTCTGCCCTTCCTCTTCCCAGAATTCTCCTCATCTGCTCACCCCGCCTATACGTCCTGCCTGACTACTGGCCAATCAGCATTTTATGTATCAACCAATTAGAGCAACACATATTCACAACATACAGAACGGCATCCCACAGCAGCCTTGCATTTGGATAGCCAGATGGCATCCTGTGCTGCATATTGAGAGTGATGACTTTGTTGTTCTCTAAAAGTGAGATTTGAGTGTTGGTTTGTTGTCTGCTTTTTTTCTCAAGACAGGGTCTTGCTCTATAGACAAGTTTGGTCTCAAATTTGTGGTAGTCCTACCTCAGCTCCTGCCCCAGGTACTTCGATTACAGGTGTGACTCTTCATGCAGGGCTTGAGCATGGAGTTTTGCCCCTTGAGGTGCTTGCAATGAACCCAGTTCCAGCTAGTTTTAGCCATTACTAAGTTCCAGAAAAACAGAGATACTGTCTGTATAGTAAAGCAATACAGATGTGTTGCTGCACTTGACTGTACGATATCTAAAACTGATGAGAGTAGAAGGTCTCGGGTTTGGGCTCAAGGGGACACTGAGGCAGACTGTCTTTTTGGATACAAGATTGGCTTATTAGAAGAGCTATTAATGCCAAGGAAAGACAGCATGGTAATGGTCTTGGGGAAAGTTGAGGCCCACGTGTCAAAGTGAGGTTTCCAGCTTACAGGTTCCAGAAAAGGAGGTGATTGTATGCCAGGGAGCTGATGAGTCCATAGTAAATGCACATCAGCAGTCTCTGATTCCCTGATGGCAATGGGAGGGGCTTGTTTTCTTGCATTCTGAGGAAAGAGTGTGTGACCTTGAGGATATAGGAGAAGTGAGGAAAAGGCACCCATTTAGTTAGTGTGCGTTCACTGTATTGGGTGTACAGGTGTTGGGTAACCCAGTAGCCTGAGGTCTTGTGTCAGGATGGGAAGAGACACAGCTCAGGTATGACCTGAACAGCATCTGGAGTGGATCCCAGTGGGAAGCAAGTGAAGCTCCAGAGTCTAATTCATGTTTTCTTTGGGCATTAATAGTATCCATTACAGATTTGTTAAAATTATAATGTAACAAAGAGAACAATACTGTCTCTATCTCTAGCTGTCCAAGCATGCCATTTATGAAAGAATTGGAATTCAGTAAAAATACTTCAATAATATAGAATAATTTCCCCTTTTTCACATTGTGCTTTCTTCTTTTTCATTACCCCCACCCCCATGTATGTGTGTACATGCATGCACACAGAGACCAGAAACTAGTCATTTCTCTCTTTCCATCATCAAACTCAGGTGGCAGGCTTGCTGGCCCTTGTGCATTTTTCCTAAGTCCAAAGCTCAAGTCCCCATCATCTTTGTATTTTGTATCTAACAAAGGTGTTGATGGCACTATAGAATTATAATGCCGATATTAATTCATCATTTGCTCTTGGCCTAGTAGCAATCAGTACACAGAAATGCAGGATCCTCGCTGAGAATCCTTCTCATTCCGACTTCTTAGATCCTGAAGGAAACATGGTAATCATCAACAGGAAGCTATACAGTGCACAGTTCAACCAGCTTGAACCTCAGCTTTAAAGTCACTTCACCCCTGAACATATTTGTTTCAAATGATCATTGGATGTATTTAGACTGTCTATCTCTTTGGTGCTGACTAGAGCCTGGTTGTGTAAGCCACCTGCCATTTCCCCAAGTTCCACAATGTTGAGACAGTAGAACCTGATCCATGAGAATCCTGTCTTCCAACAGCAAAAACTAGTTAAACAAATTTTTATTTTCATGGTGTAAACTGATCTGTGGCCCACATTTGTTAGTATTACTTATTCAGAGTTATAGATGTACTCATCCAAAATAAAAGCTTAGACTATTTAAATGATAGTCTTCCAGTTTGTGGCCTCCCTAAACTGTTCCATATGACTGCAGTTGAAGCTCAACTATCTTAACAAAAGTCAGAGGCAAAGTTAAGCTTCCCCAGTGCATTCTCAGATTCAGCATTTCCTGGGTCAGAACCTACAACTATTATATATAGTTCCCCTATAGTAACTCAGATCTGTCTCTTTCTGTGCAAGATGACCTAGTGCAGGATGGGTTTGAGTCCATGGAGAGTTTGTTCCCCCAGTTCATTCAGTTTATTTGTACGTTTCTTCTCCTTGATCTTTGCTCTCTGGACACGAACTGCAGAGTAGTTAGCCAGACTGTGGCAAAGAGTGGGGTGGAAAGTGAGGTCAAGATTAGCAGGAGAAACTGAAAACTCTCACCATGAAAGCTGACGTCTAACAGCATGCACAGAATAAATTCAATAAACCCGAGAATGAAAGTTTCAGTCTTTTGTACAGTACTCCACTGAGCCTCTGCCCTTTTCACCAGCTCTATCCCACTTTAATTTTTAGAAATAATTTCGTTCCTAATAAACTGTAGCTACTTCTACCTCTGTCCTTATGTCCCTGATCCAGTTCCTCGTTAAAAGAAATCCCAAAGGGTATCCACTGCGCCCCAATATCTGCCTGTAACAAAACCACTGGTAATCTGTGATGTTTAAATTATTGTTGCAAAGTATATATAAAGAAATATATATATATATATGTATATATATATTGCCAAGATATATATATATATTGCCAAGAAAGTCACACTCCTAAATTTATTTGCATTAATGAGATCCAAAGACTTACTGATGGGAACAAATAGCTAATTCTAAGAGTCCACTCTTTTTTTTTTTTTTTTTTGAGGGGGGTTTTCGAGACAGGGTTTCTCTATGTAGCTTTGTGCCTTTCCTGGAACTTACTTGGTAGCCCAGACTGGCCTCGAACTCACAGAGATCCGCCTGCCTCTGCCTCCCAAGTGCTGGGATTAAAGGCGTGCGCCGGCGCCGCCGCCCGGCTCCAAAGAGTCCACTTTCTTCAAGTTTGCAAATCGGGGCTGGCAGTATGGTTCAGTAGGTGAAGAAGGCACTTGGTCCCAAACTTGACAATCTGAGTTCAGTTCTCATTTTAGAAACAAAAAATAATCTTACGTCCCACAGAGGAACACAGGAACAAAGCAGAAGCAGCTCAGCAAGGCATTCTTTTTGTAAAAGGTACAGCAGGACTCAGACTGGGCTAGCAAGCCACCAGGACAGGAAGTTCACTTGATTTTTGTAGTTTCTCCTGAACCCCGTCGGCTGGGGTTCAGTCTCTCAGTCTTTTGCTGTTGGCCAGTTTTTAAAGAGTCAGCATGAAGGAAAGAGGTAGAGGTTAAGATTTGTTTGAAAGTCACACAAGCTATGGGGAGATTTATGGAATATTGGCCCGTGGTGGTCAAACTAACTTTAATAAAGGTTTGTTTGTTTGTTTTCACACCCAAGACTCCACATGATGGAAGGAGAGAGCTGACTCCCCCGAGTTATTCTCCCTTCCATGCATGTGTACGCTCACATTTTATTTTTGAGACAGGGTTTTACTATGTAGCCCTTTCTTGCTTGGGCCTCACTAAGTAAATCAGGTTAGTCTTGAATTCACAGAGATTAGCTTGCCTCTACCCTTCAAATGCTGGGATTATTGAAGGCATGTGTCACCATTTCTGGATTTACTTTACTTTTTAGTTGAAAAAATAAAAATATAAAAAAGAGTTCATACATATAGTTGTAGCTTAATTAGAAAAATAAAAGAAATTAGTGACTGTTTTGTTTAGTTGGTGTAGTCTTGTCAGGTATATATATTTAACTACTTAACTCACCCTGCTGATAAGTACTGGGTGTCAGACCACAGCACTGCAAGACTGTCCCTTCCAGACACTGGTCACAGTAAGAAGCCAGATCTCACCGAAGAAATCAGGCCACACATACTCATGCACACAGAGAGAGAGAGGTTGTTCATGTACTCTCCACTGCGATCCCAACAAAGTTAAGAGGCTGCCCTGTGCTGTGGATTTTACAGGTCCCGACTTTAGGTTCTACCCAGTACTTGGCTCTTCCATACTCTTTGTCAAGTAAGCAATGTTGAACTAAATCACACGGTATAGAACCTCCTGCTACCCTATGAAATGATATAAAAGTCAGTTATTTTCCTTTCTTCTCCAAATTTTTCTTTGTAGAGAATTACAAAGACTTATTTCAGGTTTTGGGTGAATGAATGCTCATGTTTTCTTTCCTTTGCAGGCAAGAAGCTCTTCTGGCCGCTATTAGTGAGAAGGATGCTAATATAGCTCTTCTGGAGCTGTCGTCCTCAAAGAAGAAGACCCAGGAAGAAGTGGCTGCACTGAAACGGGAGAAGGACCGCCTGGTGCAGCAGCTCAAACAGCAGGTAGTAGTGGTCCGAGGGCAGTAGGGGCGGGCAGAACGGAGCCCAGGTCCCACTGCCTTTTCAGAAATGTCTTTGCCACTGTGGATGTTTAGGGTCGTGTGTTGCATGCTATATATAATACAGAAGATTTTTGTAATTAGAGACTTCACAGGTCTATGGTTATATCTAAAAAAAAAAAAAATCATAGAATTCTCAGTGATTGGACTAAATCAGAACATGTCACAGGTCCTGAGTTGTTGTTTTTTTAAATGTTATAGAAGTCACTGTGGTCAGTCTTTCATTTGTACTCACACTTGATTCCTTATAATGTTGAACATTTACCTTGTCTGTGTTTGCATCTTTTAGGGTTCAGTTTGCTTTCACTTTGTTGAGACAAGGTCCTGCAGTGTAGCTCTGGCTGGCCCAGTACTCATTTTGTAACCCAGGCTGGTCTTGAAGTTGGGACACTCCCCTGCCTGAGCTTCCCCAGTGCTGGGATTATAAGTGTGCCTCACCATGCCCAGCTGTATCTGCAAGATTTTTGTCCTAGTTTCTAACAAGAGGACTTAATGAACAGTATAGTTCTGTTTCAGTGTTGATAGAATCAAGACAGTAATTGACTCTCAGAGCAGATTAGCTCCAAATGTCAGTGGTTAGTCAGATCTGTACTCGCCTCCAGCCTGTACTAGCAGGTGAGTGTGTGCTTCAATTCTATGGCTTCCTAAGCCGACTCACAGACTTCATAGCACCCCTTTCTCCAGGACCTTCTCTTCCTTGGACCACACTCTTTACTACCAACAGATCCTTCTAGACTCTCACCTGAATTTATTTAGCAGTATTGACCATTATTTTTAAATGCTTACTGTGTATCAGGACTTCGCCTGGCTGCTGCTGACACAGCAGACATGGCCCTGAAAACTTGAATTTATTGAAGGATCATCCATTTTATCCATCATTGTGGATATTTTGTCACACAAGGGTTTTCATGTAATCTAGTCTGACAAAGACGTATTTCTTCAAGTTATACTAAAAAACTGAGCAAAAACATTTTTGTTACTGGGGTTTTTTTTTGGGAGGAGTGGTGTTTGTTTGTTTGTTTGTTTGTTTGTTTGTTTGTTTCAGCATCCTCTCAGATTACTTAACAAACCTCATTTTAAGATCCTAGAAGTATGCTGGGTGGTGGTGGTGCATGCCTTTAATCCCAGCACTTGGTAGGCAAAGGCAGGCAGATCTCTGTGAGCTCAAGGCCAACTTGGTCTACAATGTGAGTTCCAAGACAGCCAAGAAACCCTGTTTTGAAAAAACAAAAAAAGAAAAAATATATCATGGAAGAAGTTTGTCTTTGTTCATTATTGTAAACATCTGTCAAGAGTGGCGTAGAACTACAGACTAAGAGTTTAGGGTTAAAATTCACTGATTGGGGATATAAAAGCTAAGTAGGCCAATAGGGTTATAAATAAGGTATCTACTCACAGTGAAAAGACTTCAGTGAGTTGCAGTGTATATAAATATATGCTCCATTTCCCGCAACTATAAAATAATGTTAAGGAAATGTAAAGATGAATTGACTTGTATCTTCTTGAGAAGACCAGTACTTAAGTGCCAAACTTCTGTGTATAGGTCTCTGGGTGTGTACCCCAGGAGTGCCTGGGAGCTGGCTGACCTTCATGGCCTAAAGTTATCACTATGTTTGCGTCGTGCTCAGTTGCCCGAAGCCCATTCCTGATCCCATTGATACTTCTTCTCACTGTTCAAGACTGGGCATCACTCTTAATCTAGGTGTCCCCTGAGATTACACCCAAGTGACTAGCATGGAGTAGGGGTGGGATATTTCCCTAGTTTTTTTATTGTGTTATATTTTAACTGTTTAACCCTTCAATCCCACTTTATTTCCCTAATCTCCCAAATTCTTACTGTAAAGGAATATTTTTGACTATTTCTGAGTATTTCCATGGTGGGGGAAAATACCCATCAATGAAGTGGTTTTTATTTTTTTATTTTTATTTATTTATTTTATTTTATTTTATTTTATTTTGGTTTTTCGAGACAGGGTTTCTCTGTGTAGCTTTGCGCCTTTCCTGGAACTTGCTTTGGAGACCAGGCTGGCCTCAAACTCACAGAGATCCGCCTGACTCTGCCTCCCGAGTGCTGGGATTAAAGGCGCACGCCACCACCGCCGCCGCCACCACCACCACCGCCTGGCTAGAAGTGGTTTTTAAATTAATTAATTTCTGTGTGTATTTTGTTGACATACATGTGCCATGGTGTGCACATGGAGGCTAGAGGACACCTTGCAGGAATCTGTTCTAGATAGAACTTGGGTTGCCAGGCTTCATAGTAAGTGTCTTTACCTGTTGAGCCATATCACAGGCCCTAAGTAATTCTTTCATGCGGTTCTGTCCATTGTCCTTGATATATAGTTGCCAGGTTTTAGTCTCTCTGGGAGTTACTAGGACACATGACACTTTATTGGCTACCTTCACTCTTGTTGACTGCTTCACCATATAAAGCTAATTGCTCTGGCACCACTGATTTGGGCCTGGAGATAGGCCCACACTTTGATTTGGCGCATCTTGGATTCTAGCAGACCTAGCAAACATCCACTTATCTGAAAACTAACATTTGTACATACTTTCAAATATCTCCTGAATCTTGCTGGAATCTGGTTCCCACAATGACAGTTGCCAGTGCTCTGTCCATATTCCATTTATAAGCAGGCTGTCTGTCCCTTGTTGTATATGCACTGTCTCGACTCCTTTGCTAGAGACATTTTACTTCTTATTCAGGAGTAGAATGTGTCTTTTCATTTTCACTTTACACTTTTCTCTCGTAGGCTGTGGGGCTGGCCATGGCCCACCTTGGAACAAATTGTGTATTGTCCTTTCCTCCATCTCTCACAGCAGCTCGCTCAGTAGAGTATGAGATGTGTTATTTGTGGTACTTAGTGAGCTCATTGCAGCCCTTTGTTAGAGACTGGGGCATGCAGGTGCAGAGTACTCCCACTTACTCTAACTTCGCTTTCAGTACACACACTTTCATCATTTCTTCCTCAAGGAAATACAGTTTGAGTGTCAGTTCTTCCCTTACCAAGGGCAGATCATTTGACTTGTTAGAAATGTTTGTCTTCTTTTTCCTGTCTTGAAGATTCTACAAATGGTTGTAAATCTCCTGCTATCCATCTAAATGATGTCATTTATTTTTATTTAACTTATTAAGTTTTAAGAAGAACTTTATTAATGTTATTTAGAGGCTTGTCAGACTTTACTTTCTTAAAAGCTCAGATTGTTGTTTTTTTTTAAATTCTTGGTCTTAGGCCTTGACCTACCCATTAGAGCAACTTTTTTTTTTTTTTTTAGTTTTTTGTTTTTGTTTTTACATCTCAACCACTGTTTCTCTCCCTCCTCGTTTCCCAGTCCCTCTCCTCCTCACCCCCTCCATCCACTCCTCCTCTTCATTTTTTTTTCATAAAAGGGCAGACTTCCCATGAATATCAACTAGCCATTGGTATATCAAGGGTATATCAACTTTTTATGAAGACTAGCTTTCATTTATTCTTTGACAATTTAATACATGGATACAATTTAACTTGATCATACCTACTACAAGACTCTTCAGTTCCCCTTCCTCACACCTTCATGTCCCCACACCCCCCACTGAGTCCAGTTAGTGCTGCCTCCTGGAATGTTGACTTGGTCTTTTATAAGTAACCATTGTTGCAGTGAGTTCATGAGGGCAACGGCCAAATCAAGTCTGAAAGACAGCAGTTCTTAGCACTCCTCATCTTCTGGCTCATTTGTTTTGTTTTGTTTGTTTTCTTTTTGTTTTTCCTTTGAGACAGGGCTTCTCTGTGTAGTTTTGGTGCCTGTCCTGGATCTTGCCCTATAAACCAGACAGGCCTTGAACTCACAGATCCTCCTGGCTCTGCCTCCTGAATGCTGGGATCAAAGGCGTGCGCCACCACCGCCTGGCTTGCTCTTACATTCTTTCTACTATCTCTCTATAAGTTAGTTTCCTGAGCCTTGGTGGGGTTGATAGAAATGTCACAATTAGGGCTGAGCACTGAATGGGCACATAGTCCCAACATCTGACCAGTTAAGAATCTGTTCATTAACTGCTGCCCACTACAGAAAGAGACTTCTCTGGCCAAGGTTGGGAGCAGCTCTGATCTAAGGCTGTAAATGTAAATATTTAGAAGGCAATTTGACAACATTTCCATTTATCAAAACAATAGTAGTAGGTTCCCCCTAGGGTCTTTGACCTCCTAAGCCATGAGTTTGGGGCTAGGTTTTCAGTGTGGAGCAACATAATAAATATGTAGATTCTTACCTATCAGAGTTACTCTTGACTCTCTGTAGTGCATACACAGATCTCTTCTAAACATAAGTAAAACGGTGTAAAGAAACACTAAAGATCTAATGGGAACCAAACTTGTTGAAAGTCACCATTTTTTGATTTATTTTCTTTCTCTATAAAGAAAAAAAAATGTTGGATGAAAAATCTTTCTAGCCAGCCAAGAAAATAGAGCTTTCTGTAGACTAGTTACAGGTTTAAAGCCCTTCATTATGAATTAAATTTGGAATGGGAGTCTTTTGCCAATAAAAATAGTGGAGAATAAGCCTTTAAAGCTATATACATAATGTAGAATCCTGAGTTACCATCATTCTTCATTGTTTAAGAAATGATGACAAGAAAAATCTTTTCCAATATTTTTGATCCATGGTTTGTTTGACAGACAAGGAGTCTGTGGATTTAAAGGGCCAACTTTATTCAAAATTTAAAAATCAGCATGTATAACTGAACATGCAGATTTTTTTCTTGTCATCATTCCTTAAACAATGCCAAGCATTTATATTGAAATAAAGTATGTAAAAGAATATGCATAGATTATATGTGTCTATTATACCATTTCATATAAGGGACTTGAATGTCCTCAGGCCTTGGTATCCATGGAAGAGAGAGTCTTGGAGATTAGAACCAGCTCTCCACTGATAGCAAAGAACAGTTACACATCACAAAGAACA